GGCCTTGAGTGGAGCTGTGTGGAGAGATGAAAGAAGCTGGAAAGGGCGAGGCAGAGCATTGAAAAAAGGACTAGAGTCCGGAGACCAGAGCCATTCTTGTCTCTGGGTCTGGTTCCTGTTGGCCAGGGACACTAGGAGATATCAAGGGGTAAAATGGGGACCTTCTTAAACTCCAGTCTAGTGGCTTGAGTATGCCCATTCCTCTCTGTACCCCTCTTGTGACAGTAATCCTATCCCTCTGTGCTTTATTTTCCCCTGTGCCTTGAAGCTTACGTGAAACCACCCATCTGGTGGCTTCATGCCCTTTAATAGCTGAATAACTTAGATCTCATGGCAACACTAAAAGCTCTGTGGCCATCTTTGTTTTACCTTCTTATCCTTGTGCTTGAGATCCTTCGATGACTAACAAACACTCTTTCCTTCGTTTGTACAGGTAAATGGTCATATCAGTCTACTGTGAGCCAGGCTTTGGGATCCATCTAATGATTGGAAGATTGCCAAGCTTTCAGTGTTTCTTGGGATTTCAGGATTTCTGAGATGTTGAATGTTTCTGTTGCCTCTGTCATGGAGTAGTTTTGTTTGCTCATAGTTCTGTAAAGCTTTTTCTTGGGGGAAAATCCATGAGAACCACGGTGAACACACACTTGGGCTTTAGGATGTCTGTGTGTAGTGGAGTGTATGTTGTTCATCTCTGCAGAACAGAAACAGCCATGTCACATTTGGAGACTCGTCTAGGGTCATTTCCATGTTCTCCTTCCCTCTCTTCCATTCAGGAAGCCGCCTCAGTAGGCAGGTGCCCTGTCTGTTTGGCCTCATGACTGTGAGTTTGTGGGACTCTGGTGCTAACATTTCTCACAGTTGGGATGAATAGAGATGATTGTGGGTGTTGACAGAAGGCAGTGCCTCTCAAATTTTCCCACCAAAGGACTCCACTTGGAAAATGAAGAATAAATGCTCAACTGAGTACCTCACCTTAAGGGCTGTTTCTTTGATGCTTTGTTTTATCTCTTGGAGATTTTTCTCTCCACTTCAAAATATGGCCATGTTTACTCTAATATAAAAATGATTACTCTCCCCCAGAAAATCTTTGGGTAAAGTCACAGACTCTGAGTTTTCTGGTTACTTATAATTTCTCCTTGGGGGTAAGTATAGAATTCTTAAGTGTTCTCTTCAAGAACTTTATAAGTAAGTTTCTCTATGCCTACTCTTTAAAACTGACATTTTTGGTCTTATCAGTATTGGAGACTGTTTAATAGCTGTTTGAATCCTTGTAACAAGTGAAGGTCATAACTTTGGATTTTGTTTTAATATCATAACCTATTGCCCATATATGTTCTCACTGGCTCTAAATGGAAGTTGGAGGTTGTGCAATTTCCTGAGTTAAAGAACCTGCTTCAGTCCTTGCTTTTTCCAGGGACTCGTCCACAGTCACTTTTCAGTTATAGTCAATTAGTGGAAGCCTAATTCTCTGAACATTTCTTCATCATGTCAAATATACATATATGGACATGTTAATGTTTGGGATATGAAGCTTATTAAATTATGCTGTGTATTTATTTTTGAGGCACTCAGTGTGAAGAGTTAGTTGGTACGACGTGGAATGTGGAAATTACCATTATAATTTCCTCTTCAGTTGAAGAAGTGGGGCTCTGCTACTTCTGGCCCCTGGAAGAAGGAACAGTTACCTACTATTGTCTTGTCTCTCTTCTTGGGCTTCTGCAGAGGTTTGGCTGCTGCACCTTCCCTTAGACCCAGGCAGGAGAGGTTCTACCCAGGCCTTGGAGGGTCCTGCCCTGCTCCTTAGCCAGCTGCATGCCTTGGCATGCCAGGAGTCTGGAGACCAAGAGCATGTGCCTGCTTGGAACCCACCAGCACCTCCCTCTTGACCATGATCTATGGACACAGTGGGACAGCTGGAATTCCCTGGCAAAATAGCCTGGGCTCTAATTTTAGGGGCTCTGCAGGCCTCTGTCCTGGGCCATCCCTCATGGACTCCACTGTCTATGTCTCTCTGATATGTGTAGTGGGCAGGGTGTTATTGGGGTGATGGATGTGGACATGTGGATTGAGAGGTCTACCTCTTTATGTTCAGGGCCACTCACTATGTGGGATGGAGCTGGAAGCAGGCTGAGGAGTCAGACTTAGAGGTTAATATGATAGAAACAGCATGGGACACTGCTGTGTGCAGGCGAATTGTGGGACAGTGAAGCCTGTGCTCACTGGACACTGACTCCAGCACCAGGTGCCTCTGCTGCCACTAGCCCCACACTTATGCTACCCTGTTCATGCATCCCCAGGATATCAGGGGCATGACTGATGTGGGCCACCTCTGTCCCATGCCCAGCTTCTGTCTTGGAGGGCAAGATTCACAATGTGCAGGAATTCCTCAGGAATAAGAAGGAAATTTCTCAAGGTTGTGAGAAAGTCCTCAAGAATGAGGAAGAGATAATAGGTGCCATAGTCGTAAGTTGGAACAAATGCCCCCTGGGTCCTGAGGAAGCTGCCTGGATTCTTGTGGCACCCATCTGTTCCACAGCGGTCACTTTTCATGTGTGTGCACTGAGTATGGAGTTTCTTAAGAGTGACAGGTGGTGCTATATATAGATAAAGTCAGTCCTCCCTGGAAGTGGGAGCTTCTTTTGGGGGCCAATGTGTTCACTATTAGTTCTTATACCTAATCTCTGCTTTTGTAATTTAGTTCATGTTGAAATTTCTCATTCTGGATCTAGTAGGAAATTTCTTCATCTCTCAAATGTGCATTTTAAGTTTATCTTTAATAAACAAGTAGCTTTGTAGGTAAGTTCCATGTAACAAATAGTCATGTTGTCATATACTGATATCTGAAAATATGTCATAATTTCCAAAAAGTAATGGGAGCTATACGCGGGAAGTTCATAATGGCCAGCTTTTTTATGTGATTGCCACACAAAGCTGTGCTTCCTGTTTCCACACTTGATATCCTGCAGCGAATGGACCAGGCTGCTGGAGGTGGGGGTGACTGGCACAGACCTCCAGTTACCTTGGCCCCAGCAGACCGCTCTGGACTGGGCATCAGTACCTCATTGTACCACCTCACCTCTGCATGTCAATTGGAAGCTGCTCTAGAGAGGGTATTAGGGAATCCGGGAAATTTCATAGGTAACATAGGTATTACTGCACTTCAAATAGAAGAGGGAGCATTGTGTTAGCGCTGGTTAATTTCTGGTTAACTTTGTAGGGGAGTTAATCTTTTGCTTTCCTTTAATCATTTTATGTGGAAGAATCATCCACAAAATCACATGGTAAAATAATTCTGACTTTTTATTATTGTAGATATTTTCTTTTTTTAATTATATTTTATTTATTATGCTATTACAGTTGTCCTGATTTTTCCCACTTTGCCCTCCTCCATCCAGTACCCCCCACTTCCTCAGGAAATCCCCCCACCATTGTTCATGTCCATTGGTCATGCATATAAATAAGTTCCTTGGCTGCTTCATTTCCTATACTATTTTACATTCCTATGGCTATTCTGTAACTACCTATTTGTACTTCTTAATTCCCTCACCTCTTCACCCATTCCCCCATATCCTCCTCCCATCTGGAAACCATTAAAACACTCACCATGACCATAATTCTGTCTCTGATCTTCTTGATTGCTTAGTTTGTTTTCTAGATTCAATTGTTGATCATATATTTCGTGCCATTTTTATTGTTCATAGTTTTGATCTTTTTCTTTTTCTTAAATAAATCCCTTCAACATTTCATATAATAATGGTTTGGAGATGATGAACTCTTTTAGTTTTTTCTTGTCTGGGAAGCTCTTTACCTGCCCTTTGATTCTAAATGATAACTTTGCTGGGTAAAGCAATCTTAGCTGTAGGTCCCTGCTTTTCATCACTTTGAACATTTCTTTTTTTCTAAATTATTTTTAAATACTTTTATTGCTCAAATACATTTGTCTCCATTTTCCTGCCACCACTTTCCTCTGCCCCACCCACCTCCACATCCCACCTTCAATCCTTCTCCACTTTGGCTTTGTCCATGGGTCCTTTACACATGTTCCTTGACTTGACCCTTCCCTTCCTTTCCCCTGTTAGCCCCTTCCTGCATACCCTCTAGTTACAGTCAGTTTGTTTTTTCTTTCAGTGTTGCTGGTTACATTTTTCTTCCTTGTTTGGTTTGTTGATTAGGTTCCACTTATAGGTGAAATCATCTGGTATTTGTCTTTCACCTCCAGCTTATTTCGCTTAGCATAATGCTCTGCAGTTCCATCCATGCTGTTGTGAAGGGTAAGAGCTGTTTCCTTCTTTCTGCTGTGTAGTATTTCACTGTGTAAATGTACCATAGTTTTTTGATCCACTCATTTGTTGAGGGACACTTAGGCTGCTTCCAGCACTTGGCTATTGTAAATTGTGCTGCTATGAACATTGTGGTACATAGGTTCTTTTGAATTAGTGTTTCGGGATTCTTAGGGTATAATCCCAGCAATGGAATTGCTAGGTCAAGGCAGTTCCATTTTTAGCTTTTTGAGGAAGTTCCACACTGTTTTCCACAGTGGCTGCACCAGTCTGCATTCCCACCAACAGTGTACTAGGGTTCTCTTTGCTCCACAACCTTGCAACCACTTGTTCGTTGATCTGTCTATGATGGCCATTCTGACCGGTGTGAAGTGGTATCTCATTGTGGTTTTAATTTGCCTTTCTCTGATGGCTAGTTATGATGACCATCCTTTCATATGCCTCTGGATCCTGTGTATGTCCTCCTTGGAGAAGTGTCTGTTCAGGTCCTTTGCCCATTTTTAAATTGGATTGTTTGTCTTCCTGGAGTGGAGTTGTGTGAGTTCTTTTCTGTACATATTTTGGAGATGAAACCCTTGCCCAAGGTATGATTAGCAAATATATTTTCCCACATTGTTGGTTCCCTTTTCATTTTGCTAATGTTTTCTTTAGTCATGCAGAAGCTTCATATTTTGATGAAGTCCCATTTATTTATTCTTTCCTTTATGTCTCTTGCTCTAGGGGACATATCGCTGAAAATATTGCTGCATGGAATATCTGAGAGTTGCCTGCCTCTCTTCTCCTCTAGGACTTTTGTGGTATGATGACTTATATTTAAGTCTTTTATCCCTCTTGTGTTTATTTTTGTGTATGGTGTAATTTGGTGGTTGAATTTCATTTTTTTGCATGTAGCTGTCCAGATCTCCCAACACCATTTATTGGAGTGGCTATTTTTATTTCATTTTAAGTTTCTGTCCCCTTTATTGAATATTAATTGACCACAGAGACCTGGGTTTATTTCTAGGCTCTCTATTCTGTTCCACTGATCTTTGTGTCTGTTCTTATGTCAGTACCAGACTGTTTTGATTACAGTGGCCTTGTAATATAGTTTGATTGTAGGTATTGTGATCCCTCCTGCTTTGTTTTTCTTTCTCAAAATTGCTGCAGGTATCTGGGGTGGTTTATGGTTCCATATAAATTTTTGAAATGTTTGTTCTATATCTGTGAAATACCTCATTGGTATTTGAATAGGGATTGCATTGAATCTATAAATTGCTTTGGGTAGTATGGACATTTTGATGATGTTAATTCTTCTAGTCCATGAACATGTTATATGCTTCCATTTATTTGTGTCTTCCTTAAGTTCTTTCTTTGGTGTTGTATAGTTTTCTGAGTACAGGTTTTTTACCTCCTTGGTTAAGTTTATTCCTAGGTACTTTATTTTCCTTGTTGCTATATATAGCAAAGAGGATTTTTTTCCCCTGATTTCTGATTCTGACATTTCATTGTTGGTGTACAAAAATGCCTTAGATTTCTGAATATTGACTTTGTATCCCACTGTTTTGCCAAATTCACTTGTTAGTTTGAATAGATGCCTCTCATGTTATCTGGAAACGATGACAGCTTTACTTCCTCCTTTCCAATTTGGATGCCTTTTCTTTCTTTTTCTTATCTGATCTCTGTGGCTAGGACTTCCAGTACTACGCTGAATAGAAGTGGTGAATATGCACTACTTTGTCTTGTTACCAATCTTAGTGGGAAAATTTTAGTTTTTACCTGTTGAGTATGATGTTGGCTGTAGGCTTATCATATATGGCCTTTATTATGGTGAGGTATGTCCCCTTTATTCCCACTTTGCTGAGTGTTTTTATCATAAGTGGATGTTGTACCTTATCAACTGCCTTTTCTGCATCTATTGATATGATCATGTGATTTTTGTCATTCCTTTTGTTTATGTGATATATTACGTTTATTAATTTGCGAATATTGAACCGTCCTTGCATCCCTGGGATGAATCCTATTTCATCATTGTGAATGATCTTTTTAATGTATCCCTGGATGCAGTTTGCCAATATTTTGTTGAGATTTTTAGCGTCAGTGTTTATCAGCAGTATTGGCCTGTAGTTTCTTTCTTTGTCATTTTTTTATCTGATTTTGGGATTAGGATGATTGTGGCCTCATAAAAAGACTTTGGGAGTCTTCCGTCTTCTTGGATTTTTTGTAATAGTCTGAGAAGGTCGGGGTTAGCTCTTCCTTAAATGTTTTGTAAAATTCTCCTGTGAAACCATCTGTACCAGAGCTGTTATGTGCCAGGTGGTTTTTGATGACTACTTCAATTTCACCAGCTGTTATCGGTGTGTTCAGGCTGTCTGCTGCTTCTTCATTCAGTGTTGGAAGCTTATAGTTTTCTAGAAATTTGTCCATTTCATCGAGGTTCTCAAATTTCCTGGCATATAATTGTTCATAGTAATTTCTCACAATCCTTTGTATTTCTCTGGTATCAGTTGTTATTTCTCCTCTGTCATTTCTGGTATTGTTTACTTGGTTCCTGTCCCTTTTTTTGTTCATGAGTCTGCTTAAAGGCTTGTTGATTTTGTTTATCTTTTCAAGGAAGCAGGTCCTGAATTTATTGATCCTTTGAATTGTTCTTTTTGACTCTATGTCTTTCAGTTCTGTTATGATCTGGATTACTTTCTTCCTTCTTACCCAGTGGGCTCTGTTTGTTGCTTCTCCAGTTCTTGAAGATGTACAGTTAGGTTTTTGGTTTGAAATGTTTCTATCTTATTTAGGTAGGTCTACATTACTATGAACTTCCCTCTCAGGACTGCCTTCGCTGTGTCACATAGGTTTTGGACTGTTGTGTGTTCATTTTAATTTGGTTCCAGAAACTCTTTGGTTTTTTCTTTGGTCTCATTATTGACCCATTCATTGTTTAATAGCATGCTATTCAGTCTCCATGAGTTTGAATGCTTTTGAGTTTTTTCCTTGAGGTTGATTTCTAGTATTAAGCCCTTGTGATCTGAGAAAATGCTTGTTATGATTTTGATTTTCCTGAATATATTGAGGCTTGTTTTGTGTTCTATCTTTGAAAATGTTCCATGTGCATTTGAAAAGAACGTGTATTTTGCTTCTTTGGGATGAAAGTTTTTACCTATATCAGTTAAGTCCATTTGATATAATGCATTGTTCAGTTCAACAATATCGTTGTTGATATTTTGTTCGGAAGATCTATCCATTGTTGACAGTAGGGTGTTGAAATCCTCTATTATCAGTGTGTTGATGTCTATATCTTTCCTGAAGTCTTCCAAGATTTTCCTTATATATTTGGGTGCTCCTATGTTGGGTGCAGATAGGTTTACAATGTTTATGTCTTCTTGATAGATACTTCCTTTGAGTATTATGAAGTGTCCTTCTGGGTCTCTTTTTATGGCCTTTGTTTTGATCTGTTTTGTGCGATAAAACTTTTGCTGCCCTGGCTTTTTTTCCTGTCCATTTGTTTGGAATATTTTTTTCCATTCCTTACTCTCAGTCTGAGTAGGTTCTTTGTTCTAATCTGGATCTCTTGCAGGCAGCATATGTGTGGGTCATGTTTTCTAATCCACTCAGCTATCCTATCTCTTTGGATTGGAGCATTTAATCTATTTACATTTAAAGTTATTATTATTGATAGGTACTCATTTATTTTTTTCCCTTTGTACCTGTGTTTCTCTTTCTCACTCTTTTTCATCTTCTTAAATCACTCCCTTTAGCATTTCTTGCAATGCTGGTTTGGTGGAGGTGTATTCTTTTTGCCTTGTTTTGTCTGTGAAACTCCTTATTTCACCTTCCACTTTAATTGAGAGCCTTTCTGGGTAGAATATTCTTGGTTGCAGGCCTTTGCTCTTCATTACTTGGAATATTTCTTGCCATTCCCTTCTGGCTTGTGTTTCTGTTGAGAAGTCAGCTGCTAGATGTACTGGGGCTCCCTTGTATGTTATTACCTGTTTCTCATTTCCTGCCTTTAGGATTCTCTGCTTGTCTTTGATATTTGCCATTTTAATGATTATGTGTCTTAAAGTGGGCCTCATTGGGTTCCTCTTGAATGGGACCTTCTTGGGCTTCCTGGACTTGTGTGATTTTTTCTCTCCTCAACCTAGGGAAGTTTTCCATCATTACTTTTTCTGACAGGTTCTCTTTCCCTTCCTCCTCTTCGTATCCTTCTGACATTCCTATTATACAGATATTATTATGTTTCAGGTTGTCCTGCATTTCACTCAATGCCTCTTCATTCTTTTCGAGTCTTTTTTCATTTTTTTGCTCATTCTGGGAGCTTTTTTCTATGTTGTCCTCCAGCTTGCTGATTTGATCCTCCGATTCATCTAGCCAGCTTTTGATTCTTTCTACTGTGTTCTTCAATTCAGAAGTTATATTCTTCATTTTCCTCTTGCCTCTTGTTGATAGTTTCTATGTCCTTTTTCATGCTGTTATAGTTTGCAGCAAGTTCCTTCCAGTTTCCCTTTAGTTTTTGGTAATTCTTTCTGAGCTCAGTGAGCTCATTGAGCTTCCTTATAACCATTGTTTTGAACTCAATATCTGATAGTTTACTTGCCTCTATTTCATTTAGTACTCTTTTTGGGGAATCTTCCTCTTCTTTCAATTGGGGGGTGTTTCTTTGTCTTCCCATTATTTGTGAGCTTTTTCTTGTTTTGCTTCTGCTTCTTAAATCGATGTCTTGACTTCCTGACTTTGTGGTGTGAACTTCTATGGTAGGAGACCTTCGAAATTCAGTGGTGCAGTCTCAACGATCTAATGAATTTGCTCCTCTTTGGATGTCTTTTATACCATTTATATTGGCTGTCTGGATGTAGGTTTGTTTTGATTGTTGTCTGGTCATTCTTTGGTGGGTCCTTTTCTTCAGCTGGTTGACTGAGGGTCACTCTGCCCACCACATCTTGCGTTTTTTTGTGCGGGTGCTGCCTAGGAAACAAACCCACATACACAAAAATAACTACCCCCCCACTGTAATCCCACTATCAACAGCAAATGAACCAATATTAATAAGGCTGTAAAGAGATTAATGCTATTATAGGAAAGGAGAGAATTAACTATTAGTATAAACTCTAATGACTTAATATGCACAAAGTTGATTGATGTAAAATGAATATTAAAAAGCTATGTATTATAGTAAACATCGCCAGTCATGGAGAGGAGCACAGTCGATTTCATCTTGGTAGCCTCTAGTATTTGCCACTGTTTTTTCTTTCTGGATCTGCCTCTGATGATATCAGATGTTGACCCCATCTGACCTTAGGCAGTCTGTTCAAGACTTCCAGGAATCTACTATCTGTGAATGTCTTGTTCAGTTGGTAATCTAGTTATTCTGCACTCAGCAGTTAGGCTTAGGCACCACAGGGTGGGGCAGAGTCCGTCCTGGGGGCCAGGCTATTGATTCCTCTCACTCTGCTGCTGCTCAGGGGAGTGGTCAGCCTGAGCAAGATGGCTGCTGCTCTGTGGGGGATGACTCAGCATGGAGATCCGGTTGGCTACTCTCTCAGTTCTCTCCCCAAGCCTCCATTTCCAGTCTTTACTCAGCTGTCTCTGGTCCACTCTTTGTCTCTGTTAGCCAGGGATCTACTATCCGTGGCTGCCACTCTGCACTCAGCACTCAGGCTTAAGCACCACAGGGCCAGGGCAGAAGCACTCCTGGGGATAGGTCTAATGTTTCCTTTCACGCTGTTGCTGCTCAAGGGAGTGGTCAGCCTGAGCAGGATGGCTGCTGCCGTATGGGGGATGAACCAGCACCAGGATCCTGCCAGCTATTTCCCTCAGTTCTTTCCCCAAAGCCTCCTTCCCCAGCCTCTCCTCAGGCATCTCTAGCCCACTCTGCCCCCGTCTTTGCTGGAGTCAAGGGTAAGTGGCTGCAAATAAAAATTTATGCATTGGCTCTTTAAATGCCCCTTTGCATCTTCACCTGACCATCTCTGGCAGAGAGCAACCCTGCTGCTTTTTGCATCTGGCTGTTACCTGTGTACTTTTTGGGCTCTGGTGCTGTAGGCGAGGGATTCCTGCTTATGGTTTAGACCCACTCTTCTCAGGAGGATCCAATTGGCCATTTCAATATCCTTCTGGAGCTGCTGCCCGTGGGCACCCAGCCAGCCTTCTCCAGTCTCCACTGCACTCCTTACCAGTCAGGTTGTGCTGAAGCTGATTCTTCTGTCTGTCCAAAGTTATAAGTCTTCTATCTCGCTATTGTTCAGTTGGTGTTCCCTGTGATTTTGCCATGATTTAGTTGTAATTCCAGATTGGTCCTGGGAGGAGGTCAGTGTGACTTCCATTCACTCCTCCACCATCTTGCCCCTCCCCTCTCTGACTTTGAATATTTCTTGCCAATTACTTCTAACCTGAAAAGTTTCTTATAAGAAATCAGCTGACAGTGTTATGGGAACTCTCCTGTAGTTTACTAACTTTTTTTCTCTTGCTGCTTTTAAGATTCTTTATCTTTAACCTTTGGCATTTTAATTTGGATGTGTCTTGGAGTGGGCCTCTTTGCATCCATCTTGTTTGGGACTCTGTGCTTCCTGAACTTGCATGTTTATTTCCTTCACCAAATTAGGGAAACTTTCTTTCATTATTTTTTTAAATAGATTTCTAATTTCTTGCTCTTTCTCTTCTTCTGGCATCCATATGATGCAAATATTAGACCTCTTGAAGTGGCCCAGAGGGTACTTACAGTATCCTCATTATTTGGATTCTTTTTTCTTCTCATTGTTCTGATTGGTTATTTTTTGCTTCCTTAGGTTCCAAATCATTGATTTGATGCTTGGCTTCATCCAATCTACTGTATAACCAGTGTTTTGAAGTCTGTATCTGACAGGTTATTTATCTCCATTTTGTTTAGCTCTTTTTCTGGAGTTTTGACCTGTTCTTTCATTTGGGCCATGTTTCTTTGTCTCCTTGTTTTGGCAGCCTCCCTTTGTTTGTTTCTATGTATTAGATAGATCTGTTTTGACACTGTATCTTTGTAATGTGATCTAATGTAGTAGGTGTCCTGTAGCGTGTAGTGACACAGCCTATCCTATCACTAAAGCTGGGTACTTGAGGTGCATCCTTTGTGTGGACTGCGTACACCCTCCTCTTGTAGTTGAGCCTTCGTTGCTGCTTGCAGATCAATGGGAGAGATTTACCCAGGTCAGTCCGGTGCAAGGATTGGCTGTGACCACTTACCACCAACCTCTACCATCTGTGTATGATCACCTGTTCAGGGGCAGGGTAGTGGTGCTTAGATGTGGTCTGTAGCTGTCCACTGGGTGGGTTGGCTCTGTGGTTTCACAGGTAGTACAGGCCAGTCAGCCCTCACTTGTGTTTTGCCTGGGGCCGCCCTGCCTGAGTTACAAAGCAGACTGAGATGAGTGCTACTTATACTGGGCTTGGAGACTCCCAGGCAAAGTTAAGCTGTGAATCTAGGCTGGCTGCTGCTAGTGCTGGTGTTTGGCTCACTGAGAACAGCTGTTGCTTGTTTGAGAGGATTTAGGAAGTTGTTCAACATGAGCCAAGACCAACCATTCATATGAAAAAGCAGCTTGGGTGGGCCCGTGCATTAGGTGGGGCAGAGACTTTGAGGATTTCCAAGGTGGGTCAAACAGTGTTACTTAGTTTGATGGCATTTCAGATACTGTGCCAGCCTGCAGGCTCTGTGGTGGGAGGGCCCAGAAAACGGACAATGGCCTCTGCTAGCCTTGATGCCAGACATCTCTGCTTTCCCCTGCATGCCATTAGTGTCCCTTAAGCCATTACCCTGGTGCAGAAGCCCAGAGGAAGTAAGTCTGAGTTGGTGAGTCCATGTGTGGGTTCTTTAAGAGGAATTGCTTGGGGCTCGAGCAGTTTCTTCCACCAGCTCAATCCTTGCTGGTCTTTGCAACCAGTAGTTGTGGGGACTTACCTTCCTGGTATTGGAACCCTGGGCCAGGGGGTCTAGTATGGGGCTCAGACTCCTCACTCCCAAGATACCCCTCCCAAATTTTTATCCACCACACATGGGTTGGGAACCAGTCATTCAGTGGCTGTGCCCCTCCTACCAGTCTGGGTAGATGTAGTTTCTTTAATTTAATGTAGTTGTCAGACTTCCATTCAACTCTTTCTGATGGTTCTGAGTGATAGTCTTTTTCTGATGGTTGTTCTATATTTTAGTTGTAATTTTGATGTGGTCGTGTGAAGAGGCAAGTCATGTCTGCATACGCCACCTTCTTGATCAGAAGTCCCTATTATCATCAGTATTTTCTAAAATTATATTTTGAATTTTACTATAAACCAGTTTCAAAAATCATGATGGACTTTGCAAGGTCACCTCTGAAGAATGGAGATTTTACTTAACTGATCTTCCTTCTGGCATTGATAGCATCTGTCTCTAGTCCTGCTCTTCCCCAGCCTTCTGGCAATGAACCCTTTGTCTAACTCCTTTAGTTTTCTACTTTCTCCAGAATGATTTGTGGCTATCTCGAGACACCAGTAATGGTTCCTTTTGCTTTTCTGTTTTCTGCCTTACACTTAGTACCCATAGTTTATCCTTTGTACCCCTTGATTCTATGCCAGGTTTTTGTCCTTATGTCTAATGCAAAGGTGGTAGGTGAATTCTTTCCTTCTTTCCTTTCTTTTTTGTCACAACTATTTATTGTACTATTACCAGATGCAAAATGTGTAGGATGGGGCTTTCTTCATAGGAGTATGGGAAAGGAGAAGTGCTGCCCTGTACCTTTCCCTTCTGGCCCAGATAGGGAAGGGTAGCAACCAGGGGAGCCATCCATTGCTGCCAGACAGAGAAGCTGTGTGATTTGGCATTTCTGGCAGTGGAGGAAGGCATTTTTTACAAGGTCCCTAGGAGAAGACTCTGATCATAATCTGCCCAAAGCTGGGCAGATTCACAGAAAAAGCTGGCCAGCTAGGTTGGGTGGAATGGAATAACAGTCCTGGGAAGCAGCAGAGACACCCTGCAGAGGCAGAATGGCACAGTATGTACAGACAGGCAAGCAGCAGAGCTTAGAAGGCCCTGCAAGTTGGAAGATGCAGGTAGAAGAGCAGGGTGGGTGTGGCCTCATCTCAGGAAGTCAGATAGGAGGGAGGTGGTAGGTGAGGCCAGGTGCTATAGCACTGTGCAGGAAGATGGAGACTGAGGGCCCTTTGCATTGAGGGACTCTGAGCTGGTGGTGGCCTGGCAGTGTGTCTCAGAGGAACAATGAACATAGGAGACAGCTGGCAGTGTTTTTTAGCGGTGGACAGGAAGTGGAGGAGGGGACTATAAAATTTCTTGTGAAGAGGAAGAGGGAAAGTTAAGTATTTAGGGAGACATAAGGTGTTAACTCCTCTGGATCTTCCAAATAAATTCATTCCTCATCCCTGTCCTCCTCCTCTTCCAATCTATTAATTTCTCTGATGTTCTCCATGTAATTCCCATCAGCTGCAGTCATTTCTGAGGCACACTATGGGGGGTTGAGGGACCCTGTGTTGGTACTGTGAACAGGCAGATCATGGAGTCTTCCCTTTGATTTCATGATACAGTATGAGTCATGTTCATAAGCCACTGTACCTCTGGAACTGTGCCCTTTCTCATAAGTCTAAAGTGAATAATAAATTGGTATTTAGTTCATTTTGTCTAAGCAAAATGTCAGTCAGGCTGTTTTATGGATTGAGCATTAAATGGCTTTATGCTTAGGGCTTGCAAGCTTTTCAAAGGCCTAAAGAAATGATTCAGACCTTAAAAAATATGAGACATCAAAGTACTAATAATAAACTGCAGAGGCAGAGAATAAATGGTGAGATGTCTCCAGGACATAATGGAAGGGCAGACATAGCTAACCTGTTTTGGAAGTATTTCAGGTTATGTAATTTGCAATGCAGGCATAGTCTGTGCTTGTTATAAGGGAAGGCAAGGACTCAGAAAGTGTGCCTGTTCTTAAAAATGGCCTGTTCATTTTTGTTTTGGCAGCTGGTGTACTTCTCTGAGCTTTATTCTCCAAGTGCATTAGGCAATGAGGTTCCCAGAGGTGTTTGATTCACTTCTGTGTCTCTGTGTCTAGCAGAGTACCAGGTGTGTGTGTGTTTAATCAGAAAGAGCTGGTGGTGTGGAGCTCTTTGATTTCTTTACCTCATGACTAGGTTTTTTGAAACTGTGGAATGTGCATTTCTTAAACATATGACTCATTTCCACAAGCCTTTTTTTTTTTTTTTAACTCCTGTTTGAGATCTGTGTGGCAGTCAGTGACTTTAAGATTCTTTATTTAAACTTACACCCTTGTATCCTCTTCCTTCCTCAGGTAGACGTGACCCTTAAAGATGGTGACTCTCTCCTGAGCAGCAAGATCACTTTCTACAAGAAAGGCCCTCTTGGAGGTAACAGGGTTCATTCCACCCAGGGGCTCACTGTGAGCTGAAGGACTGCAGCCTCAATTTTAGGTGGTCCCAGAATACCTCCCATTGTATACAAAATATGTTATTTTATTGGTACATTTTTCCTTTGCCACAATTCTATGATTTTATCAGATTTCCGAAGATGTCTGCAACCCATTAAGAGCTACTGCTCACTCACTTCCCCAGGTTTGCTTTTCCTAGAGCCACAGCAATGACCTGTGTGATGATAGGTCCAGTTCAGGGTCTGTACCCTCTCCAATTCCAGTGCGTTCCAAGCCCTCCTGTCCATTTCACTTACTTTTACCTCACATTCAAATTCTTGATTTGAGTCGGAGGCAACACTGCTCACCTAGTCTCAGGAGACCCAGGCTCAGTGAGTGCCAGGGTGACACCCTCTGGGCATCCCTTGCAGCTGTCTGGATGCCAGAACCTGCCCTCCTTACCTAGACCTGCCCAGTCTGGTCCCCGCCTGAGTGAATCAGGGCTGATGAGTCCCAGACCCACTCAGTCACCCCTCCTTTGCTCCTGAGAGGTCTGAGCTGTGCCCCTTCTGTGTGTCTTTCGCTGTAGCGGGCCACATCTGCTTTCTCTCTCATTAGGACCTCCCTGTGGCAGCCTGCTCTCCCCGCTTCCCCTCTTGTCTCCAGTTTATATGCCACACAGATGCCAAAATTTCTATAGAAAATCAAAGTTTGATTGTATCCCACCCTGTGACTTAAAATCTTTAAGTGAGTATCTGGCTACCTAGAAAGTGCAGTCCCAGTATCTCAGCAAAGCTTTCTGTTTGGGGTACTTTCAGCCACTTAGCTTTTCCTGGTGACACCCCACCTTTGGTTTATGCTCCAAACTGACCTCTTCCACACCCTCCCTACCACCCCAAAACCTCCAGGGGTCCTGTCCAGGCTGAGTTAGGGCCCTGCCTCCCTCAGGCCCTGGGCACTTCTGTTCCCATGGACACACTGCTGTTACCATATAATTGTCTGTGGACATGTCCGTTTTCCATGCTAACTGACGAGCTTCTTGAGCTAGACCCAGGGTCATTATTCCTGTTTTTGTTCCTAGGACCAACTGTAGATACAGCTATGTAGTAGTCAACAAACAAATGTTGAATTTGGTAGTGAGTGAAGAAAGAAATGAATGAACATCTAAAGGTGTTTTATCAAAACCGCTATTTGTCATCAGAGCATGGGGTGATTTATAATTGCTAACATTTGAGCGTGACCATTTGCCAGACAGTTTTCTCAGCCCATAAATGAGGACAGTTCATTTAATATTCACAAAAATGTCAGTGAACAGTGTTATCATTATCCCCATTTCATCAAATGGGGGAGCTGAGGCATGGAGGCTGAGTGCCATTGATGGAGTATATGGAACATGCAATCACATATGGCCAGATGGCTAAATTGTGAACTTCTTGAAAAGAAGTTTCTCCTTTAATATTTTATTTTGTTTATTTAATTTTTTTACTACTCTTGTGTCTGGCACTAGCACTCTGCCTGGCATACAGTAGATTACAGATGTTGTTGAGGGACTTTCCTACTTGGCTGCCTCTCAGTGACTGGTAGTATGAGGATTGGTCAGGTTTGGCTTCACATTTGGAATTTGTCTTGCTTTAGAGTATAACAGGGTTTGTGTTGAGTTTTGTTGGTAGCATGGTTTGTTTAATCTTAGCTGCATGCTTTTCCTTTTTCCTTTCTACTGTTCTTAGTCTCTGGTCATGTGAAACTAACCCCATTCCCATAGCCCGGAGCTGACCTCCTGCTCTTAGGATCCTAGGACTGACATGGATTCAGAAAGTCCCCTGCTCTGGGGGAAGAAGCCTCTCTCCCATCCTCCTTTTTCAAAGAATAGTTCTGGGGCAGGCTAAGTAAAATGTGGACCCATGGGGCTTGCCTTCTGCATTTCATAGACTTTAGAACAGGAAGGCATCCAAGATCATCTAACTCATCGCCTAGCTGTGCAGATGAGAAAACTGAGGCTCAGGGAGGAGTCATGTCTAAGGTTACACTGCCCTGTGGCAGCAGACCACTAACTTGGACTTAGAATTATTAAATGGTCTTTTCTCACAATTAATTTGAAATTTTATTTTTAAATGTGCTCTGTAAGAGTACAGCCAGGCATCTTCCTTTTCACCTGCCTGCCTAGTAATCAAACAAGCCCTATCTTGTAACTAAGTGAACTAACAGCTGGTAGTGTTCATTATTTTTATAGTTCCTTTATTGTGTTTTTGATAAACGAACACAATTAATTAATTGGCCTGGAACTGGTAATTGGGAAACATTTTAATCCTTTTTTTGCTTCTCTAGCAAAGGGACTTAAAACACAGGCTGTACAATGTCAAAGCCTTCTATTTTATTTTAACAATCTGAGCATAGTTTAAAGGTAAATATGACAATACAATGAATCTGAGCTAGTTTGAGAGAAGGTCAGTTTATGGATGTAAAAGTCAAAATTACAGGACATGTAAAGAATGCATTCTAACTGCTCTGGGTAGGTTTCCAGGCTTGTGCCAGGCATATGGGTCCTCTTCCTCATGCTGGGGGTAATCCAAGGAGAACATGAGTGGGGATGTCTCTCATGCTTGGAGTCTTTTTTTTCTAAATTTATTTGAAAAGCACATTATAACATTTTTATACCTTTTAATACCACTTCTTAAATAGAACATTTTTCAGCTACCATTCAAATGATTGCATGTCATAACAATCTAAATTAGTGATGCCTTAGTTAAAATATTTTGTGTTTGCAATTAACATATAGCTACTGATAAGAATATAGGCCAATGTAATCTGTAAAAATCAAAGGGCAGGTTTTTTCAAAGCATAAAATTATCAAAGCATGGTCTGCTGGGGACATTGCCGCATTTAGTAAAGTCAGGTAGAGGATAACCATTTCTTTTGTTCATTTTTTAAATTCATTCCATGAGAACTTATTAAGGGCTTCCAAGTTCCAAGCATAGTGCCAGAGGGCTGTAAGTGCAGTGGTTTCTGCCCTCATAAGAGGTGGTGGGTGCAAGGCAGTGCTGTGTCTTTCGCTGGGGTTGGGGAGCCAGTTTGGTGGACAGAATTTGGTTTGGGGCCTGTTGAGTTTGAGGTACTTAGTGACCCTGAAATGGATTTTGTGCAAAAGTTCCCTGGAGGTCCAAGACTGGAATTTACTGTACATTAAGGTCCCCGTTCAAGAGCAACTAACAGGAATACTCAGAAAGGAAAAGTCATTGTACTGACCATTAGCTTCATTTGGGCTTGAGAAGTTCAGAAAGGTAGGCAAAATTGAGTTTTTTTTTCTTTTTCACATTCAATTGCTATTTTAGTGATCTTGTTTTTGTAGATAAGGCAATAGTGTGGTCTCCTTCCAACATGAAACAAGTGCTTAATCTGATTACACCCCTGCCTGTGTGTGAACAAAGCATTATATAATTAAAATAATAAGTTAATAGGACCTCATTTTAATATGTAGTCCTATGGTTGATCTATACCTTTTGTAGCTGATGCTATGTTGGTATGCCTTCTAAGCCATAAAGAGGGAAGGGAAACTGTGGAGGTTTTGCTTTTGTTTTTTACTTTGTGATACAATTAATGCATGCTCATGGTAGAAATTTTAGATAAAAACCTCCAGAGAAGGGGAAACCCCCCAAACACCAGAACCAACCCAATTTTAATATATTGTTATTATCTTGTTTTAGTCTTTTTTGGTGTATTTTCATGCAGCTATATAATTTTATACAAATGATTTAGTGTACCGTATAAGATGAAGGTATGACCTTTGAGCTGAACCTGGTAGTGAGGGGAGACTTTTGTGAGTGGGTCCTGTTAGTTGGATGCATTTCAGCGAGGAAACAAATCCACATAAGAGCCACAAGTTGGTTTAGGGTCTAGTAAATAGTTCCTCTATCTTTCTCTGTCCCTCACTTTGAATGGAACTTAGATAACATTTGGGGGAAATTTAAGGGGTATTCAAGGCTAGAAATAAATATTGGGACAGATGATGGAAGTTTTACTATTTTTAAGTTGTTTGAGTTTGTCCCCAATTCTGTTAAAAAAATGTTTATTCCTCCTCCACTCCATTTTCTATCCAGAAACATGACTTCGTTAATGATGTAGAGAGATTTACCCATCAATGTGACTTGGGGGTGAGGGTAGAGACAGGTACATAGTTTTCAAGATTTTCTGGAATGGTAACATTTTTATTTTTTGTTTTTCTTCCATTCCCGTTTTTTCCAGGAGAATATGAAAGTGTTACTCAGACTTGTTTGTTTCATAGCTCTACTGATTTCTTCTCTGGAGGCTGGTAAGTTAAACATTTCCATGTATTATTTACTAAGAGAATCTATTATTTAAAAACATGAAATACTTTATTTAACAGTCATTTTTCTTAACTTATCTGCTGAATTTCAGGACACAAAGCCTCCTGGTCACACAGCTGCACTGCAGGGTATTCCTTTCAACATCTTTATTTCTCATTCACTTGTTTACATATCAGGAAGCTAAGGTTCAGTGAGGTTAAGAGCCCAAGGTCATGTCCCTAGTTTCAGAGCCAGAGTTAAGATCCAGGTCTCCCATGTCCAGGCCAGGCCTCTTCCAACTGTATTGCTGATTGGAGAGTATGATAAAGGAAACCCTGGCTTTCATTCTGAAGAGTAGTAAATGTAGACGTTATGAACCCACAGCTGAAAACCATCAAGTGACAGTTCTTTATTTTCTTTATTTATTTGTTTTCATGCTTTCCCTCTCCCTCCCTTACTACAAATGCATTTAACCCTTGCCACATGCCAGGCACTAGGTGCTGGGGGTAATGAAGTACATAATCCAGACAGAATATATACCTGCAGGTGGTTTACATTCCAGTAGGTTTAGAAAAGTAAATAAATATTTATTGTCATATGGTGATAAGTGTACAGAGAAAAACAGCAAGAATGGAAGATAAAAAGTTTTGGGATTGGGATGGGCAGAAGGTTAAAATTTTTTTTATTGCTTTTCAGTTACAGTTGCCCCACCCTTTTCCCCCATGGCTTTCCCCTACCCTGTCCCAGCCCCGTCTCCCACAGTCAATCCCCCTCATTGTCCATGCCCATGAGTCCTCTATTCGTGTTCCTTTGTTTGCTCCTTCCTCATCTTTCCCCTATTATTCTCCTCCTCCATCCACTCTGGTCACAGTCAGTTTGTTTTTTATTTCCAAGTCCCTGGTTCCATTTGGCTCATTTGTTTTGTTGATTAGGTTCCACTTATAGGTGAGATCATATGGTATTTGTCTTTCACTGTCTGGCTTATTTCACTTAGCATAATGCTATCCAGTTCTATCTATGCTGTCGTGAAGGGTAGGAGTTCCTTTTTCCTTTCTGCGGTGTAGTATTCTATTGTGTAAATGTACCACAGATTTTTGATCCACTCATTTACTGATGGGCACAGGCTGTTTCCAGCACTTGGTTGTTGTAAATAACGTTTCTATGAAGATTGGGGTGCATAGGTTCTTTTGAATTAGTGTTTCGGGGTTCTTAGGATATAATCCCAGTAATGGGATCGCTGGATCAAAAGGCAGTTCATCTTTAGAATTTTGAGGCAATCCCATACTGTTTTCCTCAGTGGCTGCAGCAGTCTGCATTCCCACCAGCAGAGTACTAGGGTTTCCTTTTCTCCACAACCTCACCAGCACTTGTTTCTTGATTTGTTTATGATGGCCATTTGACTGGTGTGAAGTGGTATCTCATTGTGGTTTTAATTTGCATCTCTCTGATGTCTAGTGACGATGGGCAACCTTTCATATGTCTTTGGGCCCTGTGTATGTCCTTGGAGAAGTGTCTGTTCAGGTCCTTTGCCCATTTTTTAATTGGATTGTTTGTCTTCCTGGACTGGAGTCATGTGAGTTCATTATATATTTTGGAGATCAAATCCTTGTCTTAGGTATCATCGACAAATATGTTTTTCCATATGGTTGGTTCCCTTTTCATTTTGTTGATGTTTTCTTTATCCATACAGAAGCTTTTTATTTTGATGTAGTCCCATTTGTTTATTCTTTACTTTATATCCCTTGCCTTAGGAGATGTATCAGTGAAAATATTGCTGTGTGGGTTATCTGAAATTTTCCTGCGTATGTTTTCCTCTAGGATTTTTATGGTATCACAACTTTATTTAAGTCTTTTATACATCCTGGGTTTACTTATCTTTTATTTTTTTAAACATTGCTTCTTTATTTCATTTATAATAGCAGCAGTTTTTTCTTTGTTTTGTTTTTAATCCTCACATCTTGAATTTATTTTAGTGTATGATATAACCTAGTGGTCTGGTTTCATTTTTTTGCATGTAGCTGTCCAGCTCTCCCAATATCATTTATTGAAGTGGCTATTTTTACTTCATTTTATGTTCCTGAACCCCTTTGTCAAATATTAACTGACTGTATTAACATGGGTTTATTTCTGGGCTCTCTATTCTGTTCAGTTGCTTTATGTGTCTGTTCGTATGCCAGTACCAAACTGTTTTGATTACAGTGGCCTTGTAATTAGTTTGATATCAGATATTGTGATCCCTCCTACTTTGTTCTTCTTTCTCAAAATTGCTGAGGTTTTTTGGGTTGTTTATGGTTCCATATAAATATTTGAAATATTTGTTCTGTATCTGTGAAATATGTCATTAGTATTTTGATAGGGATTGTGTTGACTCTATAGATTGCTTTGGGTAGTGTGGACATTTTAATGATGCTAATTCTTCTAATCCATAAACATGCTATATGCTTCCATTTATTTGTGTCTTCCTTAATTTCTTTCTTCAGTGTTGTGTAGTTTTCTGAGTATAGGTCTTTTACCTCCTTGGTTAAGCTTATTCCTAAGTATTTTATTTTTCTTGTTGCTATAGTAAATGAGATTTTTTTCCCCTTATTTCTGTTTCTGATATTTCATTGTTGGTGTACAAAAATGCCTTCAATTTCTGAATATTGACTTTATATTTTGCTGTTTTGCTAAATTCATTTATTAGGTCGAGTAGTTTTTCAGTGGAGTCTATAGGATTTTCTATGTACACTATCATGTCTGCAAACGGTGACAGCTTTACTTCCTCCTTACCAATTTGGGAGCCTTTTATTTTATTTTTTTTCCTGTCTGGTTGCTGTGGCTAGAACTTCCAATACTACTAAATACTAAGTTGCCTGGAAGTTGTGAAAATGGACACCCTTGTCTTGTGCCTGATCTTAGTTGGAAAGCTTTTAGTTTTTGCCCATTGAGTATGGTGTTTCTTGTAGTATGTTTCTTGGTGTTTCATTGAGTATGGCTGTAGGTTTCTTGTATATGGCCATTATTATGTTGAGATATGCTCCCTCTACTCCCACTCTGTTGAGTGTTTTGGTCACAGATGGGCGCTGTACCTTATCAAATGCTTTTTCTGCATCTATTGATATAATTATGTGGTTTTTATCTTTTGTATTGTTTATATGGTGTATTACATTTATTGCTTTGCAAATATTGAACCATCCTTGCATCCCTGGGATGAATCCCACTTGATCGTGGTGGAAGATCTTTTTAATGTATTGCTGGATCCAGTTTGCCAATATTTTGTTGAGGATTTTAGCATCTACATTCATCAGTGATATTGGCCTATAGTTTTCTTTCTTTCTTGTGTTTTTATCTGTTTTTGGAACTATGTAATACTAGCCTCATAACAAGAGTTTGAACTTCTTCCCTCTTCTTGGATTTTTTGGAATATTTTGAGAAGAATCAGGATTAGCTCTTCTCTAAATGTTTGGTAAAATTCTCCTGTGAATCCGTGTTGTCTAGGACTTTTGTGTGCCGGGAGTTTTTTAATAACTGCTTCAATATCTCTAGCTGATATTGGTCTCCTCAGGCTTTCTGCTTCTTCTTGATTCAGTTTTGGAGGATTAAATGTTTCTAGGAATTTGTTCATTTTGCCCAGGTTTTCAAATTTCTTGGCATATAGTTTTTCACAGTAATATCTTATGATCCTTTGTATTTCTGCGGTATCGGTTGTAATGTCTTTCATTTCTGATTTTGTTTACTTGTATCATCTCTCTTTTTTTTCTGATGAGTCTGATTAAAGGTTTGTCAATTTTGTTTCTCTTTTCAAAGAACCAGCTCCTGGATTTATTGATCCTTTGGATTGTTCTATTGGTCTCTGTGTCATTTAATTCTGCTCTGATCTTGATTATTTCCTTCCTTCTGCTTGCTTTGGGCTTTGTCTTGTTGTTCCTTTAGTTTTTGTAGATGTAGGGTTATGTCATTTATTTGAAGTTTTTCTATCTTTTTTAGATAGGCCTGTATTGCTATGAACTTCCCTCTCAGGACTGCTTTCACTGTGTCCCATAGGTTTTGGGTTGTTGTGTGTTCACTTTCATTTTTTTCCAGAAACTTTTTGATTTATCCCTTAATTTTATTGTTTACCCATTCATTGTTCTACAACATGTTATTGAGTCTCCATGTATTTGAATGTTTTTGAGTTTTTTCCTTGAGGTTTGTTTCTAGTTTCAAGCCATTGTGATCCAAGAATATGCTCGATGTGATTTCAATTCTCTTGAATTTGTTGATGATTGTTTTGTGTCCTATTATGTGGTCTATCTTTGAAAATGATTCATGTGCATTTGAAAAGAATGTATATTTTGTTTCTTTGAGGTGAAAGGTTCTGTATATATATATATCAGTTAACCCATTTGATCTAGCCTGTCATTCAGTGTCACAATGTCATTTTTCATTCTCTGTTTGGCAAATTTGTCCATTGTTGACAGGGTGGGTGTTAAAATCTTCTACTATAAGTATGTTGCTGTCTATATCTTTCTTTTGGTTTGCAGGCCGGGAATCATTCCCCTGAGCCACACCAGCCAGGGCTGTCTATATCTTTCTTGAAGTCCTCCAAAATTTTCCTTATACATGGGTGCTCCTATGTTGAGTGCATATATGTTTACAATGTTTATAACTTTCTGATGGATTCTTCCCTTCAGAATTATGAAATGACCTTCTATGTCTATTTATGGCCTTTTTTTTGAAATCTGTTTTATCTAATATAAGTATCACTGACCCAGCTTTTTTTTTTTCCTGCCCATTTGCTTAGAATATTTTTTTCCAACCCTTCACTTTCAGTCTCTGTAGGTCTTTTGTTCTGAGGTGGATCTCCTGTAGACAGCATATGTGCAGGTCATGTTTTGTTATCCATTCAGCTACCCTATGTCTTTTGATTGGAATGTTTAATCCATTTACCTTTAAGGTTACTTCTGATAGGTACTTATTAATCCATTTTTTCAGAAGATTAAAATTTTCGATAGTGTGATCAGAAAAAGCTTACTCCAAAGTTGAC